TTTGTATTTTTACGAAAATGCACATTGCTAGGTGATGACAATGTATTAAAGGTGGTAATATTTTCATGACTGATTCAGATATGTATGTACATTTCAAACCTAAAGTTAGGCCTAGTGATGGTGCACTTAAGAATGGCTTTTTTGTTTTAACGAAACTGAGGGGAGTTCCGGTTGCATAGTTTGTAGAGAGCTGCACTGCTAACTCAAAGGGCCAAACTCGCTGGAGGCTTGAATTCAGTAGTGGTTCTGCTGAAGAAATATGGGCAATCTTCTCTCATATGACCTACAGTGCTGGACGGTCAGCTATGAATTGGCACTGGCTGGAAGGCAATACATTTTGAGTTATGAAAATGTAGGGGGAAATGGAAAACCTAATCTTTTAAATAAAAATTTGGGTGAAATTTTCATGATACAGAAATAAGTATCAATTTCGGGGAAGAGGAGAGAATAGTGGGTTTACTCAAAATGGCTTTCTGAGGCGACTGCATTTGATTTCTACTTCATGGCTGGATGTGAGCATGCAAAATGGGGTGTAGGAACATGCAAATAGATAGGGTATGCTCACTACCAATGAAGAGATGGCCAGTTTTACCATCCTTCTAGGCTTAAATTGAGTAGATTTAGAGGCAGAAGGTAGGAATCTCATTACCAGCAAACAAGCAGCACAGAATGCAACTTGGGTCCTTGGGAAGGTCAGAAATTTCTCTGTACATCTCAGACTGGGACCTTGACTAGAGTAGCATCTAGGTCAACAGTGGAGAACCAGAAATTTGATGTGAGATAGAGCTTACCTGGGACTGCTGCTTCATGGAGCTAGAGCCAGGGGGCTTCCCCAAGTTTCCTGGTGAACTAAAAAAAGCTTTGTAATACTACCTAAAACCGAGAGGCCAAAGGTCAAGGGGCCTACAAGCATACTTGAGAAGCTGTTCTGACTGAAGAACTGCCTTCTGTTTCCAACTTGAATTGCAATCTGTTAACTCCCCTAATAAATCTCATACCATGAGGATGGTGTTCTGTGAGTTCTGTATGGCCATTTTGTCCAGATTAGTGGAAGCAGCAGTACAGCAGTGAGAATCCTGGGAGGAACAGCTGGTGTTAGCACTGAAAGAAGCAGGTTTGTGATTGGGGTGGGGCTATCTGTCCTCTTAGGAATTAATTGTTTTAGTGCTTTGGATGGAGACAATTCCCCTTTAATGACAGTAATAGAGATGAGAAAAATTAAGGAGATCTGGGCTACTTTCCTTTCTTGATTGCTATCCACTTAATTGTGCTTATGTGAAACCTACACATGGACCATGAAGTTGCTGTATGTACAGAACAAGGGAATATTACATGATTTAAAATCAAGAAAGGTGTGAGTGAAGGTTGTATCCTTTCTCTAAACTATTTAATTGGAATGCTGAGCAAATAATTTGAGAAGCTGGACTATATGAAGCAGAAAGTGGCATCAAGATTGGAGAAAGACTCATCAGTAATCTGCACTATGCATATGACACAATCTTGCTTGCAGAAAGAGAACCTGAAATAGCTGAGTTGCTGCAGAAGGTCAAAGACAACTACTACCAATATTGACCAGATTTCAGTATCAAAAAACCAAAAATCTTCTCTACTGGATCAGTACGTAATGCCATGATAGATGGAGAAAAGATTTAAGTTGTCAGTAACTTCAATTTATCTGGATCCACCATCAACATCCATGGTAACAGAGGCTAAGAAACCAAAAGAAGCACTGAATTGGGGAAATCTGCAGCTAAGGATCTCTTCAAAGAATAAGATGTAATTTTAAAGATGGTGTATCTGATTCATGTCATAGTTTTTCAGTTGCTTCTTATGCACTTTAAAATTAGCCAGTGAATAAGGATGATAAAAATTGATCCCTTTTAATTGTGGTACTGGAGAAGAGTACTGAATATTCCATGGAATACCAAAGGAACTCAGTCATACTTGGGAAGAGAGGAAGATCCTCAATAAGATGGGTTGACTCAGTGACTGGGGCAATAGAGGTAGGTGTGTCAGAGACAATAAAGTTGGCATAGGAAAGAGCAGGGTCGAAAGCTGCTGCACAGAGGACTGTTCTGAGTTGCAAGCGATTTGACAGCACATAACAACAATGACAACTAAAGGATCAAACAAGTCTATTTGACTTGATGGCTCTCAACAACAAAAACAGTAAGATTTTGGTTCAAATGCACTGCTTTATATTTATTAGGCTGTCACTATTTTCTTATGTGTCAAGTTAAGCTTTTGTAGATACTGTAATCCCTTGATATAAAAATAGTGAATATACTTGGGGCTTACTGAAAAGTTTAATCTATCCAGAAGGACCTCAGAAGAAGGGCTTGGCAATCAACTTCGGAAAAGTCAGTCACTGAAACTTTATGAAGCAGGGTCATTCATGAGTCAGAACCAACTTGATGTTAACCGGTTTCATTTTTAATTTGGTATAGACTGGTAATTCTAATCTTTACATGGTTTGACACAGTCACTACTGCAATGAGCTCTTGTGTGTCAGGAAATGTGAGGTTGGTGCAGGATAGAACATAGAAATATCTTTTGCTGATCAGGTCATTACGAGTTGTACTCTACTTGATGGCACTTAACAACAACAATAATAATAAGAATTAATTTTATGAAAGCATTCTCAATTTATTTTCAAATTAAAGCTGGTTTAATAGTAAGTAAAAATCTTCTCTCAAAGCTCTCTCTATTTATCACACACACACAAAGTTAATTTTGTAGGAAACAGAATTTTCATACTTTGTAGAATTTGGGATCATAAGAACAGACAAAATAGAAAAAAGGAATTTCTGATTATACACAGAACAAAATACAGTTTCTCAAAATAAACTTGTTGATCTGACAAAATATTCTTACTACTTTTGTTGTGCCATTGAGCTGATTACAGAATTGAAACATTAGCTGTTTGCACATTGTTATATTTTGTCTTCGCAAACTGCCCTTTGAAATCTTCAATATGGATTGCATCTCAACATCAAGAAAACAAAGATCCTCACTACTGGGCCAACAGCAGTGTCATGAAAGATGGCAGTTTGAGGTCGTTAATGATTTCCTCTTGCTTGGATCCACAATCAACATTCGTGGCATCAGTAGTTAGGAAATCAAAAGATGAGTTCCATTAGGAAAATCTGCTGCCAAGGATCTTGCCAAAGTGCTAAAGACCAACAGTGTCAATTTAGAGACAAAGGTGTGCTTGATCCAGGCCATCGTCATCTAATTGCTTGGTATGCTCAGAGAGCTAGACTGAAGATGACAGAATCGGTGCCTTTTACTGAATATATGCATGGACTGCCAAGACAATAAATAGGTCTATCCTTGTTGCTGTTGTTAGGTGGGACCAAGTTGAGAATGACTCATAGTTGTACCTTTTAAACAATCGATCTGAACCCTGTCCTATTCCATATCATCCTCACAATCTGACACACTCAAGCCCATTGCCACAGCCATGTCAACCCACCTGGTTGAAGGTCTTCCTGTCCTTCGCTGACCCTCCAGTTTCCCAAGCATGATGTCCTTCATCAAGGAATAATTTCTCTTAGCAACATGTCCAAAGTATGTAGGACAAAGCTTCATCAGCCTTGCCTCCAAGGAGCACTATGGCTGCACTTTCTTCAAGACATATCTGTTCTTTTGGCAGTCCTGAGATCTTCAGCACTCTTCTCCAATACCACAGTTCGAAGTTATCAATTCTTCTTCTGTCATCTTTAGTCATTGTCCAGCTTTCAGATGCATACCAAGTAACTGAAAAGACCATGGCCTGAATCAGGCACACCTTAGACCTCAAACTGACATCATTACTTCTCAATAACTTGGAGAGGTGTCTTACTACAGACTTTCCCAGTGCAATGTCTTCTTATTGCCTGCCTTTTAGAGAACCAATATTTCATATGTCAAAAGTATTTGGTTGATTACTATAATAATCTGTTTCTTCTTGGAAACCAGGATTTGGAAGCTCTATCTCACATACTCTGGGCATGTGGCCAGGAGGGCCCGGTCCTTGGGGAAGGGCATCATACTAAGAAGGGTGAAGGGACAGCACAGGAGAGGAAGAGCCAGGATGAGATGGATTGATACCATAACTGGTGTGATAGGGGTAGGTGGTCAGAACCAGTGAGACTGGCTCATGAAAGGGCAGACGTCAGAGCTAGGATTGCTATGAGTCTGTAACAGAAGCACTAAATAACAAAGACAACCACTCACATACATTTAATAAGACAGTAACAAAGTTTTCACCACTTTTACTTGGGGGAGATTGTATAACAAGGAAAGAATTCTTTTTCCCTCCCAAAAAAGCAAACTGGGCTGGGGAGGAGTGGGCAGGGAGGAAACTGTACAACAATGAATGGATGGAAATCCAAGTTCTCTGTTAAAAAAATAAAACAAAACAAAACAAAAAAATAGAAAAGCTTTAATCATTTTTTAAAAAAACATTAGTATTTCAGGGAGCTGTCACGGCCTAGTGGCAAGAAGCTGCACTTCAATCCCAGAGGTACGTGGTACAACTTCACCAGATGCTCTGCTGGAGAAGGGAGGGCAATCTCCTCCTGTACCAGTCAGATTTGATTTGATGGTACACACACAAAAATAAAATTGTACTTCAGAAAGATTTTTCACCACTTTTAAAAGAAAACTGACAAGTTCTACATAGGTGGTTAAATAATCTGTACAAAGTAGTTGCAAATTATTAGTTTAAAAAAAAAAAGGAAACATCTGGCCACTTTAGGTGAAAGAAATGTTCTTCAAGGGATATAGGGCCAACAAAATGTACAATTTGTTGCAAACAGTAAAAAAAAATGTACAATTTGTGGCTACCTAACACATTATATTCTTAGCCTCTGGACCTGGGGGTGCCTTTCAAATAAAGGACAGAGTGAATGATGCCTTTTGATGCTGAACTACTGAACAGTTTTTGTTTCATCCTAGAGGAAACTATTAACCAATACATTATTCCAAATTTTGCATATACAAGTTTCTGGACTTACCAGCAGTTTAAGCAGCCAAAACCGGGATTTGTAATAGAAAGTTTTGGTGGGGTTGATAAGAAAGAAAACCATAAATCCATAAAGGACAAGTGGGTAGACATATGTGGGGATGACACTAATCGGAGCAAAGAAGCATGCCAGAAGGCTCAGGCACCACAGTATTCCAAGGAATCCAGCAATCTGATAAAGGGTAAAGAAAAAAATTGTCATTTTTACTTTCAGTATAACTGAGAAATACCTTTAATAAAACAAAACTAAGAAAATAATGTAGTTATTAAGTCAATAATCCTCTTCAAGTAGAAGATGAATTACAATATCTGTAACTCCAGGTTATAGATAATGTAAATTATATTCACAGAATTTCTTATCTTGCTTTGATTACCTCAAAGAGATGCTGATGGGACAAATTGCTTCTTGGATTAAGTTCAAAGATAAGCACGTGATTTACTCCAGCCTGTCGCCAACCATAGGTGTTGATGCCCAGTAGAAAAAGGAATTCAATCAGAAGAAAACCACCCCGATAGATTCTTATCAAGGGCCACACACTTCTGTCTCTTTCAAGTTTAAATACAGCTGAAAGAACATTAATTTATTGGTTAGTTATACAAGGAATTATAATCTCTCCAATAATTATCTTGTCTCTTTATTCCCACAAATTTAACTCTGATGTAGGAATTTTTCCATAAATGGAATCTTAACCTAGATTATTTTAACACCCTGAAAGCCTTGGCTCAAGGTTCTTTCCCTTCTTATTTCTCTGCCATATTTCCCTAGAATAATTTCCCTAAAACTAGACTACCTGCATGTCATTCTTTTACTAGTTTTTTAGATCCCAGAGACATGGTAAAATGGCTTAGACTGTTAATATAACTTGTTCTGCCACAGTTGGAGATTTCTGATACAATATTTTGACTTAGATTTTTCCATCATAAAGCAAGAAATGTAGTGACAGCTACCTCAAATTTGTGAAATTAAAAGAACTCGTACACATGAAAGCAATAAGAAATAATTTAAATATGAAAATATTTCATATTAATAATCATTACTATTATTTATTATAGTAAAATGCTATGTGCTAAACATTGAAAAAAATTACTTTTATATACTTTAATTCCCTTAAGCCTTACAATGGCTCTGGGATTACTAAGGAAACTGAAGTGCAGTGAGAAAACCTCTTTTAAGGTTCCTGAGCCAGGACAGGGAAGAGAGAGGACTTGAAACAGACAGTTTTGTTTCCATGTCTACATTCTTTTTTATTTTTATTTTTATTTTTATTTATTATTTTGTGTGTGTGTACCGTCAAATCAGATCTGACTGGCACAGGAGGAGATTAACCCTGCTTCTCCAGCAGAGCGTCTGGTGGATTTGAACCTTGTACCTCTGGGATTGCAGTGCAGCTTCTTGCCACTAGGCCACCAGAGCTCCTTCATGTCTACATTCTTAACCATTCTATTTTATTACTCATATGCCCATGCAAACATTCAGCATCATTTTTTGTCTCATAACTCTCTAATGATTATAAACATAGTATTCAAGCTTTTTCCAATCTAATGGCCAGCTCACTTTCCTCAAACTTCTCACAATAACTCTAAATATTCATTCTTAGCTCCAGATGAAAATGATTATTTTTTTAACGAGTTTACTTTTTAAAATATGCTCATGCTGCTAACAGTAACTAAAATAGCCTTCCTTTTCCTCTAGTACTTCAAATTCTAATTATTATTTAAGTGTCAGATCTTCCTGAGCCGTTCAAAAATTCATTGAATAGTGAGTGCAATCAATTATGTAGGAAACATGTCAACTTGGCATAACAATTTCTCCATTTCCCTAATAACGGTGGTATTTATCATTTTAAAAATAATAATTTATACATATCATAATATATTTGAAGAGAATTCAACAATAACTTATAAATGTACTTACATTCACATTTATTATCTATGTAACAATTTAAAAATAGGACAGAAAAAGTCTTTGTTTTGGAGTTTTAAAAAACCACTCGAAACCACCTAGACTTTGAACTCTAGGTATAAAATGGCAATTAATTACATTTTTGTAAGTTTTAGTTGTTTTACTGATCAATGGGAATTAGGTCTATCCTTATAGTTGAAATTATTTCTGTATTCTCCATTTGGTTTGTTTCCGGTTTGGGGGACAATTAAAACAGTACTCTTATAAGCATTCTCATATATGCCTGAATGGTTTCCAATGTTGTGTCTTTTAATTGTGGTGAAAAGATTTCTTTGCCTTCAGTTAGGAGCTGAACTACAGGTCATCCTCCTGTGGGTTTTTGGGAGGCTGTAAACTGCATAGGAGGAGAATGCTCATCTTTCTCCTTCAGAGATGCCAGTAGACAGGGACATCCAGAGAGGTGCCACCTTTGGCTTAGCCATGCAAACTTCCTATGGACTACATTATCAGAGTTGCTGGTAAAATAGACAAAAAACATATCTGAATTCAATAATTTCTACATGTTCCATTCAGTGACATTGATTACATTCTTTAAGTTGTGCAACCATTCTCACTTTTTCCAAATCCTTCACCATCATTAATCAAAACTGAATGATTTCCGAGTAAACTTTGCCACTTCCTTCCTTAATAATCATTAATAACCTAAAGTCTCTACATATTTATTTCATATATCTGAGATCATACACTATATGTCATTTGGTAACTGATTTCTTTCACACAGCATAGTTACTTTCAAGGTTCAACCATGTTGTGGCATGTATTAGGACTTTATTTCACGTCAGCACTGAGTAGTATTTTAGCATTTACTTTGTTTATTCAGTCATTAGTTGATGAATATTTAGGATGTTTCCAACTTTCTGCTATCATAAAAAGTCATAACAGAAAGCTGTTTATGATAGAAACCGGTGCCCTAGTGTCATTCCACCTTCCTGGCTATCATGAAAAGTCATGATAGTAGAAAGGTGGAGTGAACAGCTCTGCCCAGGTTTCTGTTTGTATTCCTACTACTACTTATGTGGATATACTCTGAATTGGGATTTCTGGGCAATGTGGTAGTCCTATGTTCAACTTTTTGAGGAACCACCAAACTTTTCCAGAGACATTTTACAGTTCTATCGGTATAAGATGAAAGTTGCAGTTTCTCCACAATAATGCCAACACTTACTGTTCTAGTTTAAAAATCACTGCTAGTCAAATAAGTAAGATTTTGCTACTGCGTAAACAAAATGGTGATAGATCTTTCTTACATGTATATAGTTTGGTACCTATGTCTAAGTAGGTGATGAGGAGATACATTTTTTAGGAAGAAAAATTCTTAATCAAAAGGTCTACATTTAAAATTTTTATATATTCTGCCGACTTATCCTTAAAACACATTAAAAAGAAATACTCTTACCCCAAGTGTAAAAATCCCTGTTATTTAACACATCGTCAGAGCCACTATACATGGTTAAACTGTTCACTCTCTCAAATCAGTAAGTAAAATATTTTATAATATTATTGTATGGGATTATTTAAAGTAAAGGCTATTAGAAATTGGTAAGAAAAATAAGTTACAAACTATGACGCAAGAAAGAAAAACTTTAAGCCTGAAAAAGCACAAGCAACTTTTTATCTTCATGAAATGGAATAGCTAGAAGATGTGATTTATGGGAAACTTATTAATCAGCAAGCTGTGCCCCCTTGAGGATATAAAGCTATTATGAACATTATTTTTCAGTTATAGGTGCATTACACTAGGGATTGTACCCCTAGATGCCATGAACATTATTTTTTTTATATTAATGTTTGAAGAAAAGAATCATGCTTGTACATGTATGACTGCTGCTGTCTTTCTCTCTGATACTCAACACTGTTATCTTTCTAGCACCTGCTGGGAGAGAAGCAATAGACAGCTGGCTTTTTCTCTCACACTCTCTCTCTCTCTTACACACACACACACACATACACACTTACTCTCATATAAAAAGCTAGCTTTCTCTCTTGCCACAGACACATACTCTCTAACTCACTCTTTGTCTCTCTGGCATCAAACAAAGACAGGTTCTGAGGTGAGAGTACATAATGTACAATAATACTAAAATGCATATACCACACATATTCAAAGACAAATTAGACTGGCTCAGAAAAACAGAGTCTACATTTCATAAAGAAAAACCTCAACTTTTCCTGAATTAAAACAAAAAGGAAAAAGAAACCACTTCTTCAAATAGGCTCTGTCTCATTAGCCAACTCTTTGTTCTTCTGTCTCTTGGAATGCATTTAATTCCATTTATGTCCAGAGTAAGTATTTATTTCTGGGTCTTCTCTGATGCTCTTATTTAAAAGTAATCATTTATTCATTTGAAATAACTTAGAACATTTAGTACATCCTATTTTGCCATGTACTGTTATTATTTACAGTATCTCTGTTGGCCTCGTGTGTAGGAAGGTGCACTACCAATCCAAGGCAGGCAATCTGAATTCATCAGATTCTCCTCAGGAGAAAGATGGGCACTTTCCTCCTGTGCAATTTACAGCCTCTGAAAACCCACTGGACCATCAGCTATAAGCAGGTAGGTTTTACCTTGATGGTTGTGATTTCAGTTGTGGTTCTTATGTGCTGTCAGGTCGACTAGTGACCCTATGAACAATGGCTTTGAACCTTTCCCTGTCCTGAGCCAACCACATCATCTCTGACACATTGACTCCATTGCCACAGTTTCTGTGTCAATCCATCTCATTCAGGATCTTCAACTTTACATAGATCCTTTATCCTTCCAAGCATGATGTCCTTTCTCCAAGGACTGGTCCCTCGTAGTGACATGCTCAAAGCAAGTGTTACGGAGCTTCAAAATTCTTGCCAAGAAGCAAACTGGTTTTACCCTCTCCAGGATGGATTTATTTGTTCTCTTGGCAGTTCATGGTATACTCAATAACCTTTCCCTGTACCACAACTCAAAGACATAGATTGTTCTGTCATCTTTATTCACTCCAGCTCTCAGATGCATAGCAAGCAGCCTGGATCAGGTACATCTTAGTCTCTAGACTGACATTTTTGCTCTTTAGCACTCTGAAGAGATCCTTGACAACAGATTTTCCAATGCAACTAGCTTTATGTGTATACACTTCAGTGCAATTTTGATTTCCTAAGTGCTAGTGCCAAAAGTGTTGCTCGTGGATGCAAGCAAGATGAAATAATTAACGACCTCAATCCTTTCTCCATCTATCATGATACTGTCTATTGGTATGGTGGTGAGGATCTTTCATTTTCTTGATGTTGAGATGCAATCCATAATTGAAGGTTGCAGTCTTTGACCTTCTGCAGCAAACATTTCAAGTCCTCTGAAGTTTCTGTAAGCGAAGTTGTTTCATCTGCATAATGTAGGTTGCTGATGAGTTTTTCTCCAATCCTAGTGCCACACTCTTCCTCATCAAGCCACCCTCCCAAATTATCTGTTCCACATACAGATTGAAAAGGTATGGAGAAAGGATATAACCCTGAAACCTCCTTTCTTGATTTTGAACCACACAGTGAGTGTGGCATAATAATAAATGTCATAACAAAAGGACCTTATTTATATACTAAGACTGATTCACTGGTGAGTAGCAGAATTGTGAGACATAAAATGTACTTGTTGAATGAACTGAATTTTAAAACATCCCTGTATGTAAATTTAAGGTCTGTTGCACACTATGAGTTGTAGTCACGTTGACAGCACCTACAACAACAAACCCGAAACCCACTGCCATCCTATCAATTCAAACAGATAATGACCCTAAAGACAGAGTGCGACTGTCCCACAGGGCTTCTAAGGCTGTAAATCTTTACAGAAGCAAACCACTGCCATCTTTCTCCTGTGGGTTAGTACCCTAGCCACTGTGCCACCAGGACTCACTAAATTGAAGGTGTAAGTTAATTTAAAAGATTAGTAAAATTTCAGAAACATTAAGCGATGTTTTTAAAACTAAAACAACTAACAAACACTGTAGTTGAGACTTGCGCTTCCATGACCCTGAACCGGGAAGAAACAGATGCTGCCCAGCTGTTACTGCTGACAACTCTGATTAAAATGGGAGGAAAATGTGAAATAAAACTCAAAATCTTGCAAAATACCAGACTAGCAGATCTGCAGATAGGTGGAATCCCCAAGATAAAAATCCTTAGTCACCCTTCAAGATTGGAACTGAAATCACTCAACTTTCAGTCAAACAACAGACAGGCTTATTAAGGGGATCAGCCACAAAAGGGAGAAACATACTCCTTATAATAATCAGTCATACAAGATCAAAAGGGCACTATTTATGCTGGGATAAGGCTTAGAAAGAAAGGCTAGTAAAGGAGGAGGTATGGAAATGGGAAATAGAGGAAGCAGAGATTGTAACCAATGTCATGAAATGTATCAATTGTTTAATGGAAAGTCAATTTCCTCCTTAGACTTGAACTTAAATGACAATGAAAAGCTAATTTAAAAAAATACACTTAATGTCTCTAAGGGGATAATAGTAGATGAAGGAAGGTAAGTAAGGAAAACGGCAGTATACTGAGCAAGAAATTTATTACTTATATGAGTGTGGCACTGATGAAGTTGAGAAGTGGTCAGATTTAAAATGTATTTATTTAAAAGACCAACTAACAAGATTTGCTGATGAATGGAGATGGAGTGTGAGGGAAGAGAGAGGCTGAAAGTTTTTAGCTTTAGAAATTCAAAGAAAATTCAAACAACTTAAACTCATTGTTGTCCAATTGGCACTTGACTCTCCATTGGGTTTCTGAAACGATAACTTGTATGGGAAGAGACTGCCCTTCTTTTACAGATGCTATACAGAAGAGAGAACATATTTAGATTAGAGGTAACAGGTAAGGATTTTTTTAGCCAATTCCTACTGACATTCAAATACTCTTTTTGAAATATCACTCTGGGTAGAGGAGACATTATTATTTGGGAGACATTATTAATGGCAATTAATAACAACAATAAAAGCATACAGACATCTGGTAGGGCAGGCACAGTGTCCAAGGAAAAAAGCAGAAGGACAGTAAATACAGCAAAGTGTGAAGGAAGAATTTCAAGGAGGAGCGACCAACAAAGTCAAATGCTGCTATGGGGCATGTCAAAGTCTAATGGGAAGTTTAATAAGATGATGGCTCCTTTACTGTTATATAATTTTTTGATGCTGGCAATGTACTTGCTTCTAGCAATTTTTCCTCTTCTAATTTTTATCATCTATGAAACAGAAAATTATATAACCAAGTTTCTTAAAACTATACGCAAAATAACTGTAAATCAGTTCTGAATGAGAAAGGCTCTCTAAAAAATGAAGTACCTAAGTTAAAGCCAAAAAACCAACCAAACAAAACTTATTTACATCTATTTACTCTCACATGAAATCAAGGGAGTTAAAATTTCTGATGATTGAGCTCTTTGAAAGTCTGAAGAAATTGTATATAAAAAGTGGAAAATGATGGCAAAAAGCTATCTATTAGCTCTATTTTAAGAAACAAATATATCCAAGGGGAGGAGAATTAACACTGCCACTTTTAAATTGACGACCATGCTTAGAAACACATTTTGCCGTCATTTGTGGCAACATGTTAAACAAAACCCAAATTCCAGCTTACTAATAAGAACAAAAAATAATCAGCTCTGACAAATATATCAGACTATAGATTTGGTAGTTGCCCAGTTGATTCCTTACAGGGGGACAGAATATGATATAGACATATTAAAGTAAAAGAAGTTAAACTAAAATTTAAACTAACTTACCGGCAAGCACAAGGGTAACATTCAATACGATGAATATTCCACAAAATAGGCCAACTCTAAAAGTAGTCCATGCTGGTGCAGGCTATGGAAGAAAAAAATGGCATTTAAATATAGGCAAAAATATTGATTGGATTTAAAACATACTATAATTATAATAAATAACAGTATGAGCCTCACTCAAATGTCTATTATGAAAATAACTGCTATATACTCTGAATTTTTAGAAATCTGAACTGTTGTCAGGTGCTGCTGAATTAAGTATGACTCATAGCAATCCTATGAACTGAATACTGTCCTGTCCTGTGCCATCCTCACAATCTGACATACTAAAGCCCATTGCCACATTCACTGGGTCAGTCTACCAGAATGAAGGTCTCTTCTCTTTTGCTGTCTCTCCACCTTCCCAAGCATGATGTCCCCCTCTAAGGAATAACCTCTCCTAGCAACATGTCCAAAGTAAGTCATTATCATCAGACTAGCTAGTTATTAAAAATGTATTACAGAAGGTACAGGAGTAATGAGTCACTAAGGAGACTGAGTGACATAGTGAATTAAATGTTGAGCTTATAAAGTAAAGGTTAGTGGTTCAAATCCATGAGCCTTTCTATGGGAGAAACAGGAGAAGTGTTGTCTGAATGGAGCAAGAAATCAAGGATGTATCTTCTCCATTCCTATTCAATCTGTATGCTGAGTAAGTAATTTTATAAAGAAGAATGTGGCACAAGGACTAGAGGAAGACTCACCAGCAACCTACAGATTATACAACCTTACTCAACTAAAAATGAAGAGGACTTCAAACACTTGCTATAGAGGATCAAAGATTTCAGTATGGATTACATCTGAACATTAAGAAAACAAAGATCCTTACCCCTGGGTCAATAGGAAACATCATGAATAGATGACAAAAGGATTGAAAATTGTCAATGACTTCCTCTTTCTTAAATTCAAAATCAACATGCTTGGTACCAGCAGTGAGGAGATGAGGAGACATATTGCTTTGGGTAAGTCGGCTATCAGTGACCTCTCCAAAGTACTGAAGAGCAATAATGTAAATTTGAAGACTAAGGGATCCCTGATTCAGATTATAGTCTTTTCAATTACCTATTATGCTTCTAAAATGTCTATCTGTGTTTCATTGATTATGCAAAGGCGATTGTCTGTGTGGATCATAACAAACTGTGGATGACTCTGAGAAGAATGGGAATCCCAGAACACTTCATCGTGCTAATGCGAAACCTATACTTGGACCAAGAAGCAGTTGTCAGAACAGAGCAGGGTAACACCACATGGTTCAAAATTGGGAAAGGTGTACACCAGGGATGTGTCTTATTGCCATACCTTTTCAACCTCTATGCAGAGCAGATTATCTGGGGGGCTGAGCTCTATGAGGAGAAGTGTGGCGTTAGGATTGGTGAACGATCTATCAACAATCTGCGTTATGCAGATGACACAACTTTGCTCGCTGAAACTGAGGAGGACCTCATGCACTTACTGCAGAGGGTCAAGGACTGCAGCCTTCAGTATTCAGTATGGACTGAGGCTCAATGTCAAGAAGACAAAAATTCTCATCACTGGACCAATCGGTAGCATCAGGATGGATGGCAAAGAGATTGAGAGTGTTTACAGCTTCAGTTTGCTCGGCTCCACGGTCAACACTCTTGGCACCAATAGCCAGGAAATCAAAAAACGCATTGTGATGGGAAAGTCTGCAGTTAGCGACCTCTCTAAAGTACTCAAGAGCAACGTTGTCTCTCTGGAGACTAAGATGCGCCTGATACAGGCCATGGTTTTACTTTTCAAAGAGAAGAGCTAATTGAGGGGAGGGAAGGGTGGGCAGGGAAAAAGTGCAACAATGAATAAATGGAAATCCTCAGTCTCTGTAAACTTTCATTAAAATTAGTAATAATTTTAAAAAAGTAAGAAAAAAAGTCTGCTGAGATTTTGGGTTGGTCTGCATTGTATCTGTAGATCAATTTAGGAAGAAAAGACATCACAAAAATAGTAACTTTTCTAATCCATGAACATGGTATAGCTCTCACTTAAATACAACTTTAATTTCTCTTAACAAATGTTTTGTACTTTTCAACACAAAGTTTGTTTGTCAGACTTATTATTGAGTATTTAATATTTTGATAGTATGGAAATTGATACTGGTTTTGGGTTTGTTTGGTGGTTTTTTTTTACTTTGTTATTATTTCTGTGAGACTACAGAAATTCCACTTTTTCAGTTGTTGAGTATGCATGCATTCTTCTCCTATTGACATGGTTATATTCTGAAGACCAGGTGGTAGTGCAAAACTGATGTTATGAAAGATTAAGAAGTTACATCTGGTCTTTGGTGCTTGCAAAATCCAATTTATTAGTTCTAGATACAAAGGTGCACCTAATCCAGGTCATGGTCTTCTTAATTACTTGTTATGCTTCAGCGAGTTGGACAATGACTCAGGATGACAGAAGAAGAATAGATGCCTTCGAGTTGTGGTGCTGGAGAAGAGGCTTGAATATACCTTGGACTGCCAAGAAAACTAACTGGTCAGTCTTTGAGAGGGTGAAACCAAGTCTCTCCATGGAGGCTAGTATTCTGAAGCTCCGCCTCACTTACTCTGGGCATGTAGCCAGGAGAGATTGGTCCTTGGAGAAGGACATCATGATCTGAAGGGTGGATGGACAGCGTAGGAAAGGAAGACCCCGGATGAGATGGATTGATACAGTAACTGGGGCAATGGGGGTTGATGTGTTAGAATTAATGAGACTGGCTAAGGACAGGGAAGTGTTCAGAGCTACTGTATATAGGGTTACTTGCTATACATTGTATGCAACTCAATGGCACATAACAATAACATACTACGACAGGTTTGGAAGCAGGAGTGGCATCCACTTCCCAAGCAACATAAGCGCTATGAACTTTGATAAATGTCAATAATTGTAGAAGGGCTTCGGGCCTTTTGTTCATAGAGTAGCTATGAGTTGTGCTCTACTTGAAGACAAACAACAGTTTGAAATGAATTGTGCTCTACTTGAAGGCAATCAACAACAGTTCTAATTGCTAGAATCCCACTGCCTTTTTCTAAAAATAGTACCATGGTACTGGCAAAAAAATACCAAACTAGTTTTATTTTTTCCCTTCAATCCAGATGCCTTTCTTTTCCTTATCTTACCACATTTGCTGTAATTTTCAGATAATGCTAAATGAAAGTGGTGTGTGTGAATCAAAAGTGAAAAGAAAAACTGAAATAAAAGTAGTGAATCTTAGAGGGAAAGCATTTAAGTGTGTCTTTAAATATGATACAAGTTTTGGATTTTTCTTAGATGCATTATATTAGATTAAGGAAGTCCTTTCTGTTATTTTTTTATTACATTGTGGTCAGAGACCATAGCTTGTATGATTTAAATTTCTTTCAAATGTATTGCAACCTGTTTTATGGCAAAGAACGGATCACTTAAATTTTGGTGGTACTTTTTTTTATGTAAATACTGTATTTTGAATGGAGCTTATTTAGTAGCTCAGTATATTAAAAATCCCCTCTCAACTAAGTAAGGGACCTCTGGTGGCCTAAAGGTAACAATCTGTGCTGCAATCCTAAAGGCATGTGGTTCAATCCAACAGTTGCTCTGCCAGAGAAGGATGGGCAATCTCCTCCCGGGAGATTAAATGCCTCTGAAAACTGCTGGCAGGTCAGCTATGGGTCAGTCCTGACTCAACAGTACACTATCACCTCCATGTCAACTAAGTTAGTTGACTATCTCACCATAACTACTTGGTGAAACCCAGATGTTAGCATGTCAATAAGAAAAGGAAGACAGAGAATACAGAGTTAAGAATAAAAAGATGATATGCCATTAAGTATGAACTGAAATCTAGCACCTAAGTTTTAAAGAAGAAACAATTTTAACACCTTAGAAAATGTGACTGAATAAAGTTCTTTAAGTAATAAAGCCAATATATTTTCTCAATGAAACAGATTTTATTATTAAGTAGGCAAAACCACCAAACCAACCAAATATCTGAAAGCAAATACTGACCTGCGCAGCTCCCAAAGGAGGAACACGTAATCTTTTCATAGCCTTCTGTCTGTCACCATCTTCAAGTTCATTGGTCACTACAGCCTAGGAACACAAGTTATTAAGTTTTTACATAGGTTATGCAAAACTTGTGTAATGTATAAATAATTCTGTACCAGTTACTTATGTTATTCTAGAATTTCTTGGTGAATATTTAGTGATAAAGCAAGAGTAATGCTATATGTATTCAAAGCTAATAACAATTACAAAAAAAAACCAGGATGAAGAAATTGCCTCAATAAAATTAAGCACGGATATTGTTGAAAATATGTGGTATATAAGTGGCACGACTATACCTCAGTTTCAGAGATGAGCTGGTTGATTTTCTTGCATGTATAAAATGGGGCTACTTCTACATGAGCTACTCGCCAATCTGCTCCACGAGATGTTTCCAGGATCTTGTCATGCTTTTTAAGAATTTTTCGAAACCCTGTAAAATTCAGATTCTACGGAGAGAAACGAGAAACACTACTGTATGTCCTATTAAAACATAGGAAATTAGAAACACTATACATTGATAGGAAAACAAACAGATTCATCTTGGAGAGGATTAAACCAAGCTACTCCTTGGAGGCAAGGATTCTGGGGCTTCGTCTGACATACTTTGGACATGTTGTCAGGAGGGACGGGTCCTTGGAGAGGGACATCATGCTTGGGAGGGTGGAGGGACAGCGCAGGAGGGGAAGACCCTCTATGAGATGGATTGATTCGGTGACTGGGGTAATCGGGATGGGTGTGTCAGAGGCGGTGCGGGTGGTGCAGGATAGAGCAGGGTTTAGGGCTGTTGTGCATAGGGTCACTACGAGTCGGAAACGACTCGACGGCACATAACAACAACAACATACATTGATAGAGCTGATCAGACTTAAGATTGAGTACTCTGGGAAACAGCAATGGTTTCATTATAAAAGTAGTCACAAAAAAGTGGGCATGCCTCTTCTTTCTTAGTAAAACAAAGAAATTCTGATACAGAATCATATTTCAAAGTCTTAAACTCAAACATTTTTATAGTGCTAAAAAATGCTAATTTATATTACTCTACTGCTCAAGTCAGAAGAGTATCTTCAGAAAATAGGTTATGCATTGAAAATATATATGACCTTATATAAAGATTTTAGAAAAAACTGATACAGTAGACATTTCCTCTCTTCCTACTGGCATATAAAACAAGTTTCTAGTTCTATCAACTCCATTTAGTTTCCAGCTATTGTTATTGAGGGATGGGAGAGAGAAAAGACAATAGAGCAGAAGTGATCTTACAGGGATCTATTGATAATAAGAGGAACTTCAATCTTTACTCATTAGTTCACAGCATAAAAATGCTGCATTTTCCTCTATTTTCAAATTTCATTATTCTTTGTCCAATATGCAAAGGCGTAGGAAACTGAGATCTGCAAGATTCTAGTAAACAGAGTTGTTGATCATACATCCATTTATACTGAGAGCAGGAGATTTAAAAAAGAATGGTTTGCTGTCGTTTGTTTATTAAATTTTTCCTCATACATCTTAAATTCTTCTTAAGTGGTATACATCATGACCTTGGAGACTTTTTAGTGATTTTTACTCTTTCCTCATTTTAAAAATAAAAGTATGTTTATAGAATAGATAGTTCCCAAAGAATAGAAGGTATAGAAGAATTTTTTATGATTAACAATTATTTTCCTTTTCTTAGGAGACTTTTAAAAAAATACAAATGAAATTTAACAAGGGTATATCCCTATAACATAAGAGCATAATCAATGAGGTACAATTATTAGCATTTCATAGAAAAAAGGAATTATCTCTTTGCTATCAACTTCTTTAGAAAGTTAAGTTATAAGGCCACTGATAAATTTCAAAGCAAAGGAAATGCTCTTATATTTAAAGTCATAGAAATTTACTTCTATTCTTCTAAAATTATTTTCTCAGAGTTTTTCTTGGGATGATAAAATATTAAAATCAACAGAGAAGAAAGCAGAATTATGAAAAGGACAAAAAAAGAATACAAATAATATAGTACATACATTAACACTTAAACTAATGCAGATAACAAATCTTATTTGAAAATGTTAATTTTGCCTCTGGTAGTACTTCTATTTTATAAGCTGTAGTTGTTATACTGGTATCATATTATGATAGTCTTAACTGATTGTTATCTTAACTAAGATGTTACTGATTTTAATTAACAACAATGAAATGGAAAAGCAGTAATGTACTTGCTCAGTGACGTGTACTAGTAGTAGAGAGTTGGATTAAGTGCAGGGGCTGCTAACCAAGTTTGACAGTTTGAATTTATAAGCTGCTCCTGAGGAGAAGGGTGAGACAGTCTGCTTTTGTAAAGGCAAACAGTCTTGGAAACCCTATGGACAGCAGTCCCACTCTGTCCTCTAAGGCTGCTGTGAGTTGGACTCAACTCAAAAGCAGTGAGTATTGGGTTTACTTACTCATTGAAAGATGCTTTGTTTTTAAACAGCACAATGTTTTCTATTTATTTATAGATTTAATTATGTAAAAATCCCAAAAAGAGAAATACATGTAAATTGCAGTCAAATCAGCTCCTGCCTCATGATGAGCCAGACGTCACAGAGCACAACTGCTTTGTACAGTTTTCACGTATGGAACTGTCAGAGAAACTTACTGTTAAGCTTTTTCATCTGTAGTTTTTCATTTGGGTACATCCAAATTCACATCCTTCAAGTTAGTAAGTGATAGCAATCTATACTTGAACTATTCAGGTTCTTTCACAAATGAATAAAAATCCTGTATTTAGTGTACAGAGTTCATTTCGGAATAGGTTTTAAAAAATATTGACTGATATTTCCCAATAGTCTAGATTTTCTTTGTCTACATTTTGCTGTGATGTATGTACTATCACTCAAGAACTTTTTTTTTTTAAGTTACGAATTTGCATCCTGTGGATAATAAAATTAGAATTCTTTAAGTAGCAAGTTGAGATATGATTTTTTTGCATTTTTAGTATTAGCTACTAGAGTTAACTGTTAAATTGTTTTTGTGGACATTTTACTATTTTTTATGAGAAACAGACTTTTTTTCCCCCCCCGAAACAGTTTTACAAAAGTAACAATGACTGGGTTGTTGTTGTTCAATGCCGTTAAGTCACAGGCGACTCATAGCGACCCTATGAAGGAGAGTCCTCAATGTTTGGGTGCCTTTCATCCTCTCTCCAGGTTCATAGGGTTTCCAGAGGCAAGCTATTATGGAAGTGGATGCCACTCCTTCCAAGCTATGACTGGGGAGTCATATATATTTCTACTCATTACTACCAAAAGTGTACCTAAAACACAAAGCCAAACATTAGTTAACATTTACTCTTCAACATAGCAAATAGGAAGCCAACTGTTAGTCACTATATACTCTTCAATACAGAACAAAACCAAGTTTTTTTAAAAACTGATTTTTAAAAAAGTTTTGTTAACCCTGTAATGGCCTGTGGGACATCAACATGCCCACATTATTTTCCTCTTCAAAAATTAACTAAAGTGAGAGGATTTACTAGCAGTTGCTTTCTAACTGACTGTTCATACAGCTCTATAAGTGAAACAGAAATGTGCATGTGTTGGCAAAATACTGTTTAAATCTTTTTTTGTGTGTGATTATTGTATGAGATTATGCATTTTGAAGGTATGATTTTTACAAAACTTTTTTGTTTCTTTTTGCTTTTTCACTGTGTTCTTATGAGTTATTTGAAGCTGTCTTTTCTCACAAAGAATCCAGATTCATATCAACACTGAATTGTCAGGAATCCTAAAATGTATATATGTACACGTATGAATGTACATACATATGTACCTATCAATGATCTACAAGGTGGTGCAGCATTCAGAAACACTTCTGCATCTCACTAATCCTAAACCCCCCCACAAAATTCTGAGGGATGTGTGTCACATAATTTTATCCCCAAAGTCCAGAATAACAAATGTGTTCCACACAATCCAATCCAAAAGGCTAGAGATGGATATGTTTCATACAGTATATAAAAATCTCAGTTCCTAACAAAATTTCAGAAATATTTCTCAATTCACCAAGTCTTCCACTCCTGAAAACACATGGTATCAACAACAAGAATAAATTCAGATTAGAAAATAAATAGGTTATGAAAGGATTAACACGGTACTGCTATTTCTGATATGTGCTAACCAAGAAAGGTATCTCAATTCTGAAAAAGATGATAAAGAAAAACAACATGCAAGGGATTTTCTTTCTTGGGTTGGGTCATTTCTATAGTTAAAAGTAACTGGATTTATTAGAATTTGTTAGTAATGTAAAAACTTTGTATTCTCCAGTTCAAGCATTTTAAGTACCTGATAGTTCTGCAGCAGGATAAGACTGAGGTAGAACTCACTGAAGGCCAGTTTAAGGTCTTTAATATTCCTGTGTTGGACCCGTTCTTCATGGGACAAGTGGAAGACTGGCTTTCTTCTTTGTCGCAGTGTGGTAACACCAGTGGTTTCTTTCTGCGCATCCAGTGATGACTGTAGCTCATTCTGAAGTGTAGCAAATCTGCGCTGAGCCTCTGCAAGCTTCTCTGTAAGAAATAAAACAGAATTGCTAAACCAGCATGATAATAAAGGCAAGTTAAGTTTTTACCGACTTTTGAATGTTTATCCATCTACTTTGTTTTGGGGGAAAAAGGTTTCATGTATTATATTTAAGACTGAATAGAAACAATTATTTAGTAAAACACTCTCCTCTAAATAAAATCCTCAGTGCATACTATGTATATAATGTTCTCTCTAGTAATCCAAGTTCTTATATAGAAAAAGAGAAAATGAAAGCTATATGAGAATCCCTGGGTAGAAGTGAGCTGTACAGAGCATACATAATTGTAAACAAATCATATCCAATACTACAATAGCTATGGTGGAAGATTTTTATATTTATTTTTAAAAGGCCATGGAATTTTAAAAAAAATTAGTTCTGGTTACACAGTGGTAAGCACATGTTGACGAATTGAATGGTTAGTAGTTACAACTCCTTAGATTCTGTTGGAGGAAGATATGGTAATCTGGATTTTTTGTTTGCTTGCTTTTTGGGTTTTTTTTTGGGGGGGGTCTATTTCCTTAGAGATTTGCAGTGCGGACATTTCTACTTTGTACAGGGTTGCCAGAAGTTGAAATGGACTTGATAACAATGGGTTTGCTTTGGGCTGTTTTAAAACGACAAGAAACACTACTTTTATCATCAACTGTATTATTCTGCAATGTGATCTCCGGGTCTTTTTTTTTTTTTGTGTCCTCAGTTTCCTGTTGGCCAAATTTTCAAGAAGCTCTACACATAAAGTACTACACAAAACCTGTAAAATATATGCATATATAAAAATGCATCTTAATCTATAACGGCACCCAACAAATATTCCTATAAAAAGACATATTTGTAAGTGATTTTATAAATAATGAAAAGAATATATTTTGGCAATACATTCCAATTTCTGTTCATGTTATTAAATAAAATAGTTCTGGACATGAATACCAAGTATTATAATAATATAGTAATTCTGCTTATATAACAAAATACTTGAAACAATGTTAATAATCATTCAAGAATTGTTAAAGAATCTATTATTTTCTTCAAAGAGCAAAAGTAGTAAGATGTTATGTTTTTACCAGATTTATATCTTTTTATAAATTTTTTGGTTTTTTTTGTACCATCAAGCCAACTCCAACTCATAGCGACTCTACTGCACAATAGCTCTGAACTCTGTCCTATCCTGAGCCAATCTCACTGTCTCCCGACACACTTGCCCTTATAGCCTCAGTTACTGTGTCAATCTATCTCATCCAGGGTCTTCCTCTCCACCATTCCAAGCATGATGCTCTTCTTCAAGGACTGGTCCCTCCTGGCCACATGCCCAAAATATGTGAGACAGAGCTTCATCAAGCTCCTTGCTTCCAGAGAGCAAGATGGTTTCAACCTCTTCAGAAGAGACCTTTTCTGGCAGCCCCTGGTATTTTCAATACTCTTCTCCATCATCACAACTCAAATGTATCAATTCTCCCTCTGTTATCCTTATTCATTGTCTAGCTCTCTGATACATAGCAAGAACTTGTGAAAATCTTGGTCTGAATCAGACATACTTAGTCTTTAGACTGACATCTCTGAATTTCAGCACTCTGGGGAGGTCTTTCACAATAGACTTTCCTAATCCAATTAGTTTTTTTGACTTCCTGGCTGCTGGTTCCAAAAGTGTTTACTGAGGATTTGAGCAAAGATTATTTCAGAACTGCAAGTGCTCATAATAACAGCAAAGTTATTGTACTGCTGTGCAGCTACAAAACTACTCTTGATAAAACAGTATTAATGTCTTAGAATATTTTGGGGTTTTTAACACCTTGCAATGCTATTATTGTGCTGGTTCAATTTATGAACATCAGTCTTAGTTGTAACATAAAGTAAGTTTATAAAAATGTTGATCCACCACAGCCAATTCATGAGTCAAAACTTGTTAAGGAGTGCTCATGGTAGAATGATTAAATAGCTAACCAAAATGTTGGCTATTCAAATCCATCCAGTGTTTTCCTTGGAAGAGAGATCTGCTATTACAAAGACCGTTGTAAGTGCTATTATAGAGTGTTAAGTGCTATAATCAAGATTGTTGTAAATGTCTCTGACTCATAGCAAAATGATGGACAACAGAGCAAAACACTGTCTGATCCTGTGGCATCCTCAAAACTGCTGCTGTGTCAAAACTGCTGTTATTGTTGCAGTGACCTGATCGATCCATCTTACTGTGGATCTTTTCTGCTTGCAAAGGTGGAGGGTCTGTGACAGAGAAGAAAATCCTCAACGAGATGGAATGACACAGAGTGGCTGCACCTAGGGGCCCAAAGCATGTCACAGATGATGAAGATGGCACAGGATAGGACAGGGTTCAAATTTGTATTCATAGAGTCCCTATGAGTTGTATTAGACCTGACGGCACCCAACAACCCCATCACCAAGCATTATGTCTTTCTCCAGAAATTGACCTTCCTGAGAACATTATAAAAGGATACAACACAAAGTCCTCAAGGTGACATCCTTGCTCTTCAGCACTTTAAAAGATTCTTTTTTGGAGAGGTTTGTCCAAATGCAATGTCATTTGATTTCCTGAGTGCTACTTCCATGGATGTCAACTACAGATCTAAGTAAAATGAAGTCTCTGAGAACTTCAATCTTGCTAGAAAGATTACAGGCAAGAAAATCTTAAAGGGGAAGTTCTCTGTTACCTGAGGTACTTATGTTAAATTATATGAAATGTTTATACTACTTTTACCTGGAATTTTTATTTCTTGGAATTGCTGCATCCCAAATACTGAAAACTAGTATATAATGTATAAATTAAACATGCTATTTTTCCTCCTCCCCTAATCATCAACTTTTAGAACACTAGTATCTGAACACTATTTGCTGTCTTTTTCATCCCCAAACATATCATATACTTTAATGTCACCAAGCATCCACACAGGCTTTTGCCCTTGAAACACTGTCCTCCAACTCACCCTATCCTATCACTAAACATTTAGTTAATATGGATATAGTTTCAAAGACCCAACTTAAATGTTACCTCCTTTCAGAAAGTTTACCCTCAAATCTTTACCTTTCTTCAAAGTAAACAATGCTCCTTTTCTTCTTTGTATTTTTGTGATTTGAGTTAACATTTACAAAGTACCTTTTTAATTCAATGCTTTTTCATGTCAGTTCCTAGAGTTGTTTGTAAAATTCAATAATACTAAATAAGTATCATATTGCACATACACTTATCAAAAAGTCCAACTTGACTAGGAATTAGGAAATTGAAAAAATCTGTAGTGTTAAAAGTCATGATCATTATTATTTTTTTGGATAGGTAATGGTAAGGGACAGACATAGGGACTGATATGCTAGTAATGCTTTTAGGGGTAAGGTTATACAACTCTGTTCTATTTGTAAAAATTCACTGATTTCTACATTTGAGTTTTTAATTTATGTAAGTTATACTTCAAAAAAATATTTTACCTCCATTAAAAAGTAATCCACCTATTATTTCAGCTTTCATTTTATAATTTTGTAATTTTTAACCCTGGGTTTAGAAGGGCTCGTGGTACTAGGGATACTGTCGCTGATGTTAGATGATCTTAGCTGAAAGCAGGGAATACCAGAAGAATGTCTATCTGTGTTTCATTGATTATGCAAAGGCATTTGACT